ATAAAGATAAAAGTCATTTATGCCCCAGAGTTCATTCCTGAGCCAGGCACCTCACCTCAGGGGCTACTTCAGTTTCCACTAGACAGATTAAAGTTAAGGATGCTAGAAAAACAAGGTCAATAGCTTGTCTAAATGTAGGCTCAGAGACTGTGTTCAGAGACCCCAGTTATTAGTGGCTACCAACTCTGTACATGCAGCAGTGTCTATACAGTATTAAATGACATGTTGATCGGCTCATTGATCTACTTGGGGAAAAAAAGAACAGCCATCAAAACAATTAGCAGGAAATACAGTGACTATTTTCAACCAAATTGTAATCAATAGGTTTGAGAAGATTTGTCTCATTATATTGCAACAAAGAATTTTTCAAGTGGTGCAAATGTGTACTTTATTTTGAAAAGTGGTTTTCACTTTGAATGAGACATTTGTCCTTAAAAAAAAAAGTGCTTGTTCTGGCCTGAGATATGGAGAAATGTTACAAACATGTTGGAGGTCATTTTTGTTTGTAGCTTGCACCACGTTACTGTAAGAACAATGAGCCATTGTACTTGAGTGTTGAGCTGTGAAACATGTGTGACATCGACCGCTGCTAACGTCGTACCAGAGCAGCAGTCTGCAGTCAGTTGCTTTGAATGTCATTAGAACAACTTTATTTGACGTCCAAGCTGTGTCTGCTGAACGTGGTCACGTGTTTCGGCGTACATGAGCCAGGACGGCCATTTTGTACGATGAAAGCCAAACTCTTTCTTTCTCAATGTGTTAAGGGCTACGTTGACTTAAATATGCACCACTTGCTCTTTCATTAAACTTGTATTTGAGGCACTGACATTAGCTCAGCCTGAGTAGGAGATGTCGTCTCTGCTAAAGCTCATTACAGCTCCAGCCTGTTTTCAAGCTGCTTCTTGCTGAGTTCTGCCTGTTTTATATTTAGCATTACAGTACAGCCACTTAGAGAATGTATGAAGTGGACCAGCTGCTATTGGCGAACTTTATTTTGCACGCCTGCGAAATGACATGACTGTAACTGATGCAGGTCAGTGTTTTGTCCTGTGCCACCATGAATGCAGTGCCACATTCAGTAAAAAACAGGCAGTAGAAAGCTCCAAGTGTGCTTATTGTTCTGCAGCAGATGGTATGTCCTACCAAAAGACTGTTTACCGACTGTCACCACTCTTTGCATGAGATCTACTGTTTGTGCAACATGCACCACTGACAGTAAAATGACTGAAAACAACACTGTACTGTAATTACAACTCAAACACAGTAAATATACACCTCTGACTGAAAAACATCTGTGATTTTTTTATAAAAAAAAAAAAAAGTCTCACAGCTACTAGAAGGGATACTCACGGATCAGAGCTGTAAAATGACAAGAAGCAGCAGGAGACCTTTTTATTCCTGATTGTATCTTACATCACATCTTTAATTCTGCACTGTAGACGTGAACATGTACATCCAGTTCTGGGTGAACGATATGTCTTTAAACCACTTCTGTGACTCATCTTTGCTGTTTTTGACTTGATTCTTATTGGTCACAGTAAGATTTGATTGAACAGCTTCATTGCAGAGGTGCACTGTTGCACCAATGAAACAACTAACTAATCTAATCTACTTGTAAGCTTGGCAGTACGCTCCAAACAAAATGTCTTCTCAAAAGCTTTTCCATGTCTGATCAATATGGTGCTGTGAACAAGCTTGTATAATGACAACTATTTTTTGATAATGTGCAACATTTCCACAATTAACACAAATAATTGTTGTGTTTGCTAACAGGCTTTGTTCGCTGTAAGAACACAGTTTTGTTTGGCATGTTGTGTTATTCTTACTGCTGCTTCTCATGTTGTTCAACTAGAAAATATAATGTTCATCTGGTTTAAGTTGATTTAAGTAAGAACAATTTAAACTTACAACTGTAACTTGTAAAGCGATTTCCCAAAAACCAAATAACTGTATTCCAGTACTGTTTAGAAATTCCTGATATAAGTGCAGTATTTAAATGAGATGGTTAACATTAGGTTATTTTTCTTATCCCTTTAACCACCAACATTTTGTAGCTAATGTTTGTTTGGTAATATTATGCTTCCATCAGCATTGCTTCATGTTAGACTTTCCTCAATGCTAGGTGTTTTTTTCTGAGTTTGCTACAAAACATTTATACCTCATGAATCACTCACTAGAATTATATAATTAAAAAAAACTGTATTATGCTCCTCCCAAACATTCATTTTATTGTATATTTGGTATGTTACTGCTGATCTATATGGAATAACAGGGTGATATTGTACAGATAAAGTACAGACATTGTGTCTTTTGAAACACTCATGTCCACATTAGTTTTGTTTGCCACATTCCCATTTGTTTGTTAGTATGAACCTCATCAGGTCACATCACTGCTTATATCACTAATAGCTGATTCTGAAAGTTACATTCAGACATTCTAGGAAATTCTTTTTAGTCCAAAATTAGTCATTTTTCTTAGAGAAGTTGGGAGTGTCAAGTACAGCGATGGGTCCATGATATGTTTAGCTTAGTTTAGCACAAAGACTGGAAACTGCTAGCTTAGCTCCTACCAATAGAGGTATCCTATTAGCTAGCAAGCTAGTCCACAGTTCATCCTGTAGTTAGCTTGGCCTTAGTGGACAGTAGAATTAGGACAGAGCTCAAAACAATAATCCCACAATTCAAAAAGAGTGTTTATTAGTCAATGAATAGCTCCACTGCTAACTACTGCAAAAGCTAATGTCTCATTTTTTGTTTCCCTACGTTTATTGAAAACAGCAAACAGCATGAGAATCAGACAGCTTGGACGTGTTGAAATGTTAGCTTTAATTTAGCTAGACCAGTATTTTTAACCTGCCACTAGTCTCCACTAAGCTAGGGTAAATATATTTCTTTACTGTTGTTTTCTGTTTTATTGGAGCTAGGCTAACAGTTGCCCTCGGCTTTCGGCTAAACTCATCCTGGCCCTATATCTGTATTATTTGAAGCTGTATGTTTAGTACAGTTGGATGAGTCTCATCTGACTCTGGGATGTAAAAAAAAAGGGAATTTTATAAAATGTCTGAATGTTGCTTCAGTGTTTTTGCAATAAAAGCAGAGTGTCTGTTGTCAAGGTGCAGAGGATTGAAGAAATAGTTCAGTGTGATGATCCGTGAGTGTCTTTCACCTGTATAATATATGTAAGCATTTTTTTTATCCCTATATGATTGTACAGAACTGCTTGTATAACCTACAAGTAAAGCATGTATTTTAAACTTTTTGTAAATCCAAATGATAACCATGTACATACGTATATACAGAGATGTAGAAAGTTAATTAGGTTTGCAGTTAATCTCCAATAGCATGATAATTAGTGGGGTTTAGTATGAATGTACAGACTGTATGTTAAACCTTTATGAAGGAAAACACTTGAAAAACCTGATATCAGACTGCGTGCTATCTAAGGATAAACTCTGCAATGCATTTTTTGTGCCTTTTATATAAAAGTATGTAATCTAGACAATCTTGAAAAGCTTGTGTACAACCAAAATGACATTAAAATGGTTTTGGGGGCAAATACTTCAGTTTTGCAGTGTTTCTTAATGGGAAGTGTGTTGCTTATCTTAGCTTCATGTAAAGCATACATATACACTCACAACATACATTGTTTACCTTTTTTGACGGGATTAAATCACCATGGTTTAACACAACATTGCTGGTATAAGTACAGGCCTTTTTCTCCCATTGCAATCTGTAATGGGTTTAGAGTAGTGAATATAAACAAGATGACATAAAATTGACCTTATGAAGCTCAGACTATGAAAAACTGATTCGATTTGATTTAAAGTGAGAAAACTGGAAGCAACAAATTGTCACTGAAATTAAGGAGAACTCTGATGAAACTGTGTTTAAATTGAACTTTTATTTATTTGTTAAAACAGTTTTTATTGTGTTATTTAACCTATTTTTTGGATGTTTCTTATGCCTCTTATATGATCCTTCCTCAGTCCAAGTCTCTTATATCAATTGGTCACTGGATGTTTCAAATGAAGGATTGCAGGAATGGACCTCTCATGTCATTAAAACTAGGCTCTAACTTTGAGAATTGGGTGGATTTTGGTAGAGAACTTTAAAAAGTATGTCCTGGTCCTTCCTTTTGCCCTGCCTCCTGCAGCCCCTCTCTGCAAAGTGGAGTCTCATGCATACGTGCTAGTAATCATGGTAACAGAGCTACGCACTGAAGTAAACATAGTTTTCTCCACATACCTGGATAAAAATGTTTTCCAGTGACTGTACCCTTGCTATATTTCAGCAATTACCTCATCCTCATTTCATTACCTTTGTGTTTAGAAATACACAATCTCACTTTGTGAAGCAGCAACATTATACTGCTTCCCAACATGTGGTTGCGAAAGCTTTGCACTGATTTGTTTACATAGTTGGCTAACAGCTAATGTTATCATGTTACTTTGGTAGCCTGGAGGGGGACAGCACTGCCTGTGCATAGGATGACTGACAGTGGATTGCACCACCCCCTGGCTCTGATTGGTCATTCATATTCGGGCACAGTGGATTCTTTCACATGGATTTAGAGTTACAAGAGCCAGAAGACCGTGATGTTTTCACAGTATATCTGTCTTATGTGTTACTACCAGGATATAATGACAGGTTAAGCAAATATGACAAAAGTTAGATGCCTACTTTAATAATGTTTTTCTTTGGTTCCTCTATTCTAACGTTTTGCTTACGTTATCTTATGTGGTTGGGACTAAGACACAAGGAAAAGGTACGAATGAGGGAAACAACAACCCATATAAGAGACTTGAGAAACACTCAGTGTGTGATTGTGCGTCCTTATATTATTTGATTGTGCAAATATGTTAGTAGTCAATAAGCTGTTGACTGCATTAATGCATTGTGTTGTGTCCTACCTCAAGAAGCTTCATTAGTAGACTCTTTCTATGGTGGATTGTGTTGAATTGATTCAGTTGTAATGAGAAGCATTGTTGCATTCTTTGCAGGTGTTGTCGCCCACGGAGCAGATTACCGCATCACCACCCTCCCCAGACTATCGGACAAAGGGCCAGAGTGATGAGAAGGAGCATTTCCACATCCTTCCTCAGCTCCAGGCCAAGAGGGCCGACTTTCTTACAGTCATGCTGACTGGCACCTTGCCTCAGCGCCGAAGCTTTGCCACACCAGACGAAGAAATTGCAGAACCTCTAGGGCCAAAAGATGACGATGTTACAAAGAGTGACTCCAACAGCGAGGCCAGTCAGAAAAGCACTGAACGTAGCCAGGATGCTGCACCTTCAACACTCATGGCTGAGGACCAGAGGGGCCAAAGGGAACATGCCTCAGCTGCCGATGCAGACCCTGACCTGGAGGATGCATCAAAAACCCTCGTCCTCTTCTCACCTGGAGACACTCGCAAGTCTCCCTCTGGTGGTGATCACGTTCTAGATGGTGAGTTGGCCACACCGTCTGGCTTCACTTCTCGTAATGATCGTCTCCTGGTTGGGGAGGCAATCCAGCCTGAACCCTCTGAGACCGGCCGTTTGTCCCCTGCTCTCAGGTCTGACCTGAGGCCTTCCACTCCCATTGCTCCTGCATCACCTCCATTCACCAAAGTAGAGCGCACTTTCATCCATATTGCAGAGACATCACACCTTAATGTCATGTCTTCCAACGGTCACTCTGCCAAAGAGAGTGACCGGGAAGTCTTTGCCATTATGAGGGAATCAGCTGTAGAGGATGATACCTGTGAACAAGGGGGAGCACCGTTGACAGAAGAGTCTCCAACGGTGCCATACCAGACTGTACCAATTGACAAACGTCCCATAACTGAGAATGGTCCATCAACTATCCTGGTCCAGTCTTTGGAGCCTGTCACAGGAGCCATGTCACCAGTTCATGAGCATAAAGATCAGGAGTCACAGGAGCCTAAGAAAGAGCCTTCACCCAGTGAAGAAGCTGCCAAGTTTCAGACAACTGGATTAGAACTACCAGCTCCCATAAAGCCCAGAATTCGAAGCCGAATCCCAGTACTCATCTCTGAAGAGGACTCAGGCTCAGAGCAGTCCTGCTCCCTCTCGACTCGAGCACGGCTTCAGCAGCGAGCCAGGCAGCTCGATTTAGCCCGCCTGCTGGTCCAGAAGCAACAGGGTCGCTGGATAAGGATTGGGATGCTGTCTGGGACCTCATCATCATTGTCCTCAGGGGATGAGGAGCGCCGGAGAGCTTCAGAAACTCTGTCCACCACCGGCTCAGAGGAGGACACACATACCTCGGATGAGTCTAGGAGGAGCTCCCAACTCAAACCAACTGAGGAGCAAGGATCCAAAGAGTCCAGGAGTAAGATCCCAAGGCCTGTCACCCCTGTGAAAAGGCCTTCATGGGGGCTTGCTGCTGCTGCCCCTTCTCCTCTCTTCTTGCCAGACTCCAGCACTACCAAAGGAGCATCATCCCTCATTAATGGGTACGATTGTTTTCTCCCTCATATATAATAAATATATAATATACACAAGTTTTTTTTTTTGAGCAGTGTGATCAAAATGTTTTCATAAAATTTAAACAGTGCCTTCAATGTACTCTTCTGTCCACAGGGATCAGAAAATTGGCCTAAGCACTCTCAGTACCCAAAGGAAATCCAAACCTGTCTCACCCAGGTCCTCCTCCTCATGTCTTCGTTCTTCTGCTCCCCCATCTGGCAGCCCTCGAATGCCCCTGCGAGTCCTGTTAAGTACCCGACGCAGCCTTAGCTCCACCCACTGCAGGACTGACAGTCCCTCCCCTCAGAGAGTATGTCCACCCAGGCAGCCCCTCTCGGTTCGAGCTCCCACGGTCCCCATGCTACCGCCCAGGACTACAACAACCATGCGGCGCAGCGCCTCACAGGAGGCCACTGCCCAGTCATCCTCTGGCACCACACCTGCCAGGACCAGGCCAAAACCAGCTGGTGCAGCTAAGGGGAAACCGAATGCCAGGGAGAAGGCTGTACCCACTAGATAATACAAAGACACTCATCGCTGAGACATGTCTGTGTATAATCAGGCTTTGGACAAGCTGCGCCGCAAACGTTCTAACCTGATTCCATATTAGACTGTGATGTTACAGTGACCTCCTTCAGTTCATCTAATGTATATGGACCTCGTATTTTTTCCAAGAACAGCTTACTGAACTATCTTCATGGGCTTCCAATAATCTTGACTGACTGCCGTACAAAAGCGTTGCTGCCATGGTGCTATGGATGCATCTACTGCTTCCTGATTGATCCTTGATTTAACTGGTTTCTGGGGCTAAGAATCATAGCCAGTTTCAGAGACCCTCCCCTTACACAATAGTCCCAGCTTGTCCACAGCTATACTGCTTTTCTATGGACAATACCCTGCTTGGTTCACATTGCATGATGAAGTATATCGCAAATACAATTAATCTGTAGAAGGAAAACAACATGTACAAGAATCTGCACCTTTAAATTATTTGCTATAGTTCTCCCCTTCCTATTGGCCAAAAAAACCACAAAGATCCAATTGGACTGGTCTGAATGCCTGAACTATGTTCACATGATGAGAGAATCCTAACTATCCTGTACTTATTATCCTGTCTTGGATAAAGAGAAGAGTTGGATGCATCGCTCGGCTACTCACCTCCTCCTCATGGTGTGACAATGGGCATGCTTTAATCATTTTATGTTCTGTTTATTTTCTGAATTGTATATAATAGAATCATTTCCCATAAAGCCATTTTTATTTTTATCTTGCCAAGCAAAGTGTAAATTTCAAGTGTAACCTTCAGTTCCATTGTGTTGGCACTATGCCTGTTTTTATGCATGACAAACACAGGGTTAAACATGAGAGGAAGTCATACCTGCTTGGGGTCCAACAGTACAAAGGTCTGTTGGATATTGCAGTCCATGTTGTGATGTATGGGAGGTGATGGGCACTGAGCTGTGAAGTAAAGTCCTGGTCATGTGGATGGCATTTTGTCATGTTTTTTTCTTTTGGCTTTCCAGTAAACCCAACAACCCCACTGTATCTGGATCAACAGGTTGTAGGTTTGTATAAACACAAGTCCAACTTTGGTAGAACCCAAGAGTCATGGATGGATTACTGGGCAGGCCAGGGGCTCAAGACATCGGGGCCCTTTGGGCGTATGCAAAGGACATTGGCATATTTAACTTGAAAGTCTCAGAGCTCAGTTAAAAGACAAAAATACCACAAAACATGAACACAGTTTAGTAAAGACAAAATTGCCCCAAAGAGATCAACATTATGACAAAAAGAATAAACCACAAAGACAACACACATAAAATGACCACCTAAAACATATTGGTTTCACTAAATAGTAGGCTATGTGTTTAATGATGTCACTGTAGTAGGCTACAGGTGAAGTTCATGTTTCTGAACATCAATCAGATAGTGTGTATATATACATATATATATATAAATGTTTTCTGAATACTGTTCAAGTCAGATGGCATGTTAAGGGTCACATTTTCATCATGTTTTTACCCATGGACACTGTTTCAGGTCGATACTTGTAGTTTAATCAGTTTGAGCAAATGTCTGCAAGACTCCCCCGTTTTCTTTGGTCGAAATTCGGAGACGATGTGAATTAAGAAGGTAAATTAAATTTTGAAGCTCCTATCACTATGAAGTTATAGAATGTACATTTTAGGTTGTAGTTCCACCGCCGTCCACGAGGCAGTGACAACATCCGGAAACTAACAGCAGTGGTGGTGACGAAGAACCAAGATGGCGACGCAGGCGGAGTTGTGTTGTTTGGAGAGCTTCCCCTCACACCTGAGTCCTCTGGATGTTTTGATGTTAGAGTCTCACCTGGATTCAGTTTTCCAGAAAGCCACAGTCCCGCCGACCGTCCTCTTCAGCCCGCAGCGGTCCCAGGGCTCTGGGAGGCCGGGCATTTTACTACGCGTTCATCCGACAACTGAGGAGGAGATGGCGGGCTGGGGAGAAACTAACTCTCGCAGAGCCGATACCGAGTCCGTGCGCCGGGGTCG